AAAAAAAAAAAAGTGATTAAGTAAACTGGTCCAAGGCAAAGAGGGGGAACCAAGGGTGAATGGCAAAAGACGCCAACACAGGAGCACCTTGAGCAGGGCTGGCCCCATGCCAAAAGCCACTGAGAAGCAGGCTGACCAAGGCTGACCCTTGTGATTGGACAACCCAAAGTCCACAGTGGAACTTGCCCACACAGTTTTTGTGGCATGTCAAAGAGGCCAGCAGAACTGCAGTGGAGAGAGAAGAGGGTGTGTGATGATGAGGAAGAGACGGCAGTGAGCCTCATTTACACTTCAGAAAGCTTTGTGGGGACGCTAAGGAGAGAGCTTGAGAAGCATTTATGTTGAGAATGCATTTGAGAATGTTTTACATCTATATGAGTTGTTTTTTTTCCTCCTGGAATGTGAAAGATTTGGGCATATTACCAGCCTATGGTAAAGAGCTGACAGAGAAAGAAATGTTGAAGTCTTAAAAGAAAAGGGTAAATAGATGGAGAGGGTCACAGAGGAAACAGGGAGGTGACGAGTAAGTCAAGATCTCCTGCTGAAGCTGAGCACTCTTAATCTTCTGTAGTTCTTTGGAGGACTCAATGAGCCAGCCACCTATAAGTCCTATAAACTTATAACCCTTATGAAAATTCTAAAAATGTGAAAATAAAGAACTGTAAAAAAAAAAAAAAAAAAAAGGTACTCTTTCAAGTTTAATATCTGTTGATCTCTTCGGTGGTTTCCACTGCCAATAAGTTGGAGTAAGTTAACGTAGGTAACAAATAGCAGTTTAAGTCTAAATCAGCTTTTTTTCTTGAGAATTTCATTCTTGTTGCCCAGGCTGGAGTGCAATAGCGTGACCTCAGCTCATCTCAACCTCTGCCTCCCAAGTTCAAGTGATTCTCCTGCCTCAGCCCCCTAAGTAGCTGAGATTACAAGCATGTGCCACCATGCTCAACTAATTTTGTCTTTTTTTTTAAGTAGAGACAGGGTTTCTCCATGTTGGTCAGGTTGGTCTTGAATTCCCGACTCCAGGTGATCCACCCGCCTTGGCCTCCCAAAGTGCTGGGATTACAGGCATGACCCACTGCACCCAGCTTAGCTATGCTTTGAAAAACTCAAAAGCAAATGAAACATTTATGAAACTCCTGTTTCAAAAATAAATTCTTGCTCAGTGTCTTCCTCCTAGAACCCCTTTTTAGAGGAGAGCAACCTGGACAACCCCTACCCACAGAGTGCAACTTAGGAGGAGAAATGTTGTCAGAAGATATCAGTGACCATGGCGCTGAAAGGAGGGTCAGAATCTGCTGTGCAATGCCAAGTAACCTCCTCTGAATTAGATCTGCTGAAAAGCACTTGTGTTTCATTCAATTTTCCTAACATAAATCTGTCAGGAGATCTGTTCTCATTTCACTTCAGACCATATGGTTTAGATATAGACTCCTGCTTTCCTTCTACCTTTCCATCTAAATATGATTCTATTTTTACTCAAGGAAAAATGCACTGGTAATCAAAGTGTGTCTGCTTTAAAGATGGAGTTCATTGCCAAAGAGATTCCCTGGCTGGTCTCACCCTTCCAGTGATGTGTTCATTGCCTGCCAGTGTGGAAATGTGGGATTTCTACGGAGGTCTCTGATCTCGCCAATGTTAGTTTGAGTCAGGCTTTATGAGTTATTTCTTTTAAACAATTAGAGAACAAGAGGTTCTTGGTTAACAAAACAAAATATTAGGACAACCTGCTTTACTGGATTTATGTTAATATCTTTATTTTCTGGTTCAGCCATACAATATTCACATCAGCAAAAATGTTATTTTTTTAACTCAACAGAAATGTCCTGCCTTCTCTGCCTTTACATGTTTTGAGAGTAAGCTCAAGGTAATACATAAATAAGTTTTAGCTTTGTTTTTTTCATTATCAAATCTAAATTTTGAACTCAATTTCATCAAAGTTAGATGTAGAATATTTCAACATGGCAATTTCTTTAGTTATGAAACAAGACTTCCTGGTCTTTATTATGATTAAATTTTATAACATCATTAAGTTTCCTTCTCTTTGAGTGAATACTCATTTGCTTAGCAATCCAATAATGAGTGCCTTAGGAAATGTTTAGGGTTAGCCAGTTTTAAGGAAAAGCAACTGAAATTTTCACCCCAAATTGGCAGGAAAGAAGTTACTTAAAATATTAAATATGCCTTTCTGACCCATTTTTCCTGCAGTATGGATTTTTTTTTAATGTAGAAAAGCAATTTATTCCATTTAAAGCACTTATGCAATTAGTCATGGAGAGTAACAGGCCAAGGACTAACTCCTAAAAAAAGAAAAAAAAGCAACTTTTATCAAGGATTAATTTAATTTTTAAAACAAATACAATCTCAACTTGATAGTCTACCTGTGGTATAACTGTCAGGTAAAATATACATCTTTACAACTTGGTGGTCCCAAGCTAAAAAAAAAAAAAAAAAAATTTCAACAGAAAGGAAAGAAAAAACATGACAACAGCTCAA